CCCCACCCCAGGGAATCCGTCTGGATGCATTTCTGACTGTCAGCTTTGGGTGGGGGGCTGGCGCATCTAGTGGGCCGTGGCACAGCCCCCACGAGCACCCGGCCCCCACCGTCCACGGCCCTGAGGCCGGGGAGCCCTGCCCTGCCTCCCGTCCTGCTTGACCCGGGGCTCACTGCCTTGGTGTTTTTCCTTTGCTTTCCATGGTGACGGCGACGTAAACACCAAACAGACCAAGATGCCGAGGCTGCTTCCGCCCACACTTGACCCTGCAGACACACCTGTGGTTAACAGTGTCCAGCAGCTGGGAGGCCCCGCCCCCAGGTCACCCCGGAGCTTCTCCACAGGACGTGCACACCCTGCCAGGGGCCCAGGCCTTGAGATGGTGGCTGATGAGTCACTGGGGGCGTCCCTTCCGTGTCGGTTTCATGCCGAGAGCGGCCCAGAAGAGGGTAGCCGCAAACTGGAATACCCCCCGCCCCAGACGGCGCTCAATCACTTCTCATTTACGTCCACGGCTGTGGGGAGGGGACACCCCTCGGGTCTCCTCTTACTCCCACCTGTCAGCCCTGGTTAACCAGCTGGCAGCCAGCGGCCAGTGACCCCTCCCTTCCCCTGCTAGAGGAGGGCCCTAAGGGAGGGGGAGGGGGGAGCTGAAGATACAGCCCTTAAGTTCCCAGCCTCACTCTGCACTTGCCTGGATCAGAGACGCTCGGAAGGGAGGCCCTGCCGCCCAGACCAGGAGGAGGAAGCCACCAGGTGCCTGTTTCCTCTGCGGTCCCAGCTCGGGGACCCACGCCCCTCCTCCCCAGTCCCTGCTGCCCCCATGGCCCACAGCGGGGAGCACCTCACCTCCGGAGCCCCTGCGGGCCCTCGCAGCACAGAAGGGGGACAGAGCCTCCTCCGGTGGGGGGGCGGCCAGGTCACACGACAAAGCGGCCCACGAAGCACGGGTCCTTCCCTCTGATGCGGCCCCCCGGCCAGATGGAGAAACCGAGTCGCACAGCTACACGCGCCGCCCCCAGCCTCACCTGAGCTGCTCGTCCGCGAAGACAACCTCCAACCTGCAGCTTCTAAGGCCCATGCCACGCGCCCGTCGGCATTGCCTAGTGTCACCTCAGCCCCGTGGCGTTCGCGGATGAGGACAACGGAGGCCTGAAGACCCCGGGATTCGCCCAAAGCGAGAGCCGAGCGGCCGAGCCGAGGCCACGCTCTGCCTGACGCACACGCACGTGCTCACTCCTGACCCCGCTAGTCACACCTGTTGCGTGGCTCTGGGGGGGGGGACGCACAGGCCTGTGGGGACCGTCCTGCCCGAGGGCAAGGGACGGGAGGCTGGACCCCGACACGGCCCGCTGCGCCACCCCCTGGGTAGCTGCGACGCACGCGAGGCTCCTGGCAGTTACACTTGGAAAATTAAACCCAGCTCCTCGCCTGCATTAGTCCCTCCTCAGGGGCTCCCAAGTGGCTCACGGCACAGAGTGCAGACACGGACCCCGTCCTTCGGCGTTGGCGTGCACCCGCTGGCCAGGCGCCGGACGCCGTGTGGACCACCCTCAGCCCGGGGCTCCCTCGCCCGCACTGCCGCTGCGTGGACACCGGTGGGGTGATCTGAGCCAGGCTCCTGGGACCGTGGAGCAGGGACGTTACTGTCACGGACACGGGCTGAGCCCCGTGGCGGGTGTGGGAGGGACCGGGGTCCGCCAGCGGAGGGTAGCATCCTCTCAGTGTCACAAGTAGCGGGACCTCAGGAAAACGGATCCAAGGGAGCACCCCACAAAGGCCCAGTCACTGTGCCGGCAGGGGGCAGGGGAACCCCGTAAAGTCCTCTTGGGCACTGTGGGGCCTCCGCTGCAAGTGTGTGCAGCGAGGGGGCGGGAGGTCAGGAGCCCTGCTGCGTGGTGGGCCCGGCTGGGCAGCCAGGGCAGGACAGGGATCCCCCCACACCGGTCCTGCCAAACAGCAGGCCTAGTGCTCCAGACTTCCCGGCAGCAGGAAGGGATCTGGGAGCACACGGGGAGCAAGGCCCTGACGGAGCGTTTACAGCCCAGCCGGCAGGGGGGGCGGTAGGAGGAAATGACTCACGGGCGCCTCACATCTGCTCTGAGAGCGGAGGGGCCCCGTGGGGCGGAGGACGCGCCAGCCGAGAAGCACAAGGGAAGGCACTTACTTTCTCCATCAAAGCAGCTGACACTTAGTTCTTAGTCCTTTTTTTTTTTTTTTTTTTTTTGAGAGAGAGAGAGAGCTCGAGCGTGGGGGAGAGGCAGAGAGAGAGGGAGAGAGAGACAGGAAGGGAGGGAGACAGACAGAGGGAATCCCAAGCAGGTTCCATGCTGTCAGCATGGAGCCCGACTTGGGGCTCGAACCCATGAACCCTGAGATCATGACCTGAGCCAAAATCAAGACTCGGACACTTAACCGACTGAGCCCCCCAGGAGCCCCAGTCCCAGTCCTTTTTGTTTTTAAACTACATGCATTAGTTTTTAAAAAGGCACCTGCAAATTCAATACAGGGCGTCCTGCGACACCCTACAGCACCCTACAACGTCCTACAACGTCCCTGCAAAGCAAGGAGAATCTGAACCTGCCACCTGGAAGAGCCAAGGTGACATGAGGCGACACGTCACGTGGTCGCTGAACGGCATCCCGGCACAGAGTCAGGACGTGAATCTAAAGAAAGTATAGACTTTGCTTAAAGGTGACGGATATTAATGTAACAAGCGCAGGGACCGTGAGGTGGGGGTGGGGGGAATGGAATTCTCTACTATCTTCCCAATTCTTCTGTGAATCTAAAACTGCACTGAAAAGTAAAGCCTAGTACGCTTCTTAAAAGGCACCTATCATACGAACGACTTTTGAAAACTTTCATTTAAATCATCTAGGGGCGCCCGGGTGGCTCAGTCGGTTGAGCGTCCAACTTCGGCTCAGGTCATGATCTCGCGGTTCGTGGGTTCGAGCCCCGCGTCGGGCTCTGTGCTGACAGCTCGGGGCCTGGAGCCTGCTTCGGATTCTGTGTCTCCTTCTCTCTCTGTTCTTCCCCTGCTTGTGCTCTGTCTCTCTCTCTCTCTCTCTCTCTCTCAAAAATAAACATTAACAAAATTTATCTAAAACTGCTTTCTGATACTTACTAGTAGTCAAGTTTTTGGGGGGGGTTGCATGTGTGTCTTCATCTCAGGGCATCACTGAGGCCACACCATTTGCCCCGTTTCCCCCCATTTTTAGAAGAGACGGAGGTTCTGAGTGACGACGCGCCTACGATCTAAGAGGGGAGCCCTGGCTGCCACCTCTGTTCGTGTGACCAGATGCCGCTTCCACGGCGCCCCCTTCCAGATGCTTCCGAGCCTGCTGGCACTTGGCGACAGTGACCACCCCGTGCCCAGAGTCAGGGCGAGAGCTCCGTCAACCACATGTCACAGATGGTCATCGAACCAGGAGCCTCCGAGAGGAAGGCTAAGACCGCCAGACGGCGACACGGCGTGAGACAGCTTAGGAAGGACACGCCAGCAGGGGCGTTCTAAGCGGGCTTATCACACGCCGTTTTGTTTCCGTTCGATCCACTCCAGGGGCTTCACCCCAGGAACGTGAGCTCCACCGGCTCCTTTCCAGAAGTCCGGTGCTATTTAAACAAGGCTTAAATCCTGCAACTGTTAGGTGCAATTTGGCCCTTAAGGTGTCCTAACACTCCGCGGGCCAGTGTGGGGTGCGGGCCGGTGTGGGGTGGGGGCCGGTGTGGAGTGAGGGCCAGCTGCGTGTGACAGGCCAGGTGTGACAGCTGCCGTGTGTGTGTCCTGATCTCCCAAACCCCAGGGTTGGCCAAGGCTTCTGCCAACTTGCAGGCCTGTTACGTCCCATCGCTCGAGGAGAGGCTTCTATCTTCTGGGGGGGGGGGGGGGTATGGAAAGGAACGAGGGGGTTGGATGGGGGAGGATTCCCGCAAGTAAGAATGTGCTCCAGCATCTCAGGCAGCTGCACACACGCACAGGCCAGGCTCGGACCAGCTAGCCGGGTTCTCGAAGAGGCATTTCCTGTGGGGCTCCTGAGGCGCCCAGCCTAACAATTCACACAGCTGCCCTGACTCCCGGCAGGGCCCGGAACTTTCCAGGCCCTCTTGCACAAGTCTAGCCCAGGGCCTAACGTGACGGCCCCGGGGTCAGACCGTCTGCGCCTGTGGGCCAGACCCCCAGCTCCCCAGGCCTCAACATCCTCGCCTATACACTGGGAATAATCACAGGGCCGTGGGGACTTTGCTGTCACAGCTCAGCGTCTGGCACACGGTACTCACTCGGGACACATGGCTGCTCCTGCTTTGGGCACCAGGGCCTGTGCCAAGCGGGCCAGGAGAGGAGGTGCAGTTCAGGTCAGTTTTGCTCCCGACGGAGCCGCGTAGGGGGCAGGCTGAAGCCGGTAGGGGACACAGGTCTATGGGAGCGGACATCCGCCATTTACCACGAGCGGATTCCCTGAGCATCTTAGACAACTGTCCAGACCCCTCCACAGACTCGGGAGTTTCCCACCGACGCGGGACGCGGCGAGCCCTCCGCCTCAGACCCGCGCCCACCTGCCTGCTGTACGTGCACGTCACACCCACCGAGGCCGCCTCCCGGTGTCGTGATGCCACAGCGAGCGGAGGACGCCCTGGGGCCTGAACTTCCTCCAGCAGACAGCATCCTCTTCCCTCGCACTGAGTCCCCGTCCAGGTCCCTGAGCCCCGGAGACCAGAGTCGTCCCCTGGCCCTCAGCCCGCAGCCCGCCATGTCACAGGCCGCGAGCAAGGCTGCCCCCAGGGGGTGAAGGCCAACACCCCAACAGCAGCCCAGAGCAGGGGCACAGGGGGCCTCGGGGCCCACTGGCGCATCTGTGAGCCTCGGCATGGACCCCTGGGAGGGGGGAGGGGGAGAAATTCCAGGAAGCTTCGGAAATGGAAATCACCGGGCTTCCTGAGAGGGGAGGGAAGGTGGGGCCTCGCAGACAGGACCCCGCAGCCCCTTCAGATGCCTCACTTACCCAGGGCTCCTTGGCAGATGTCTGTGCGGGTGGCTCCTCCAACAATAAACTCGGGGTCGTCGCAGATCTCCTGGGAACGAGACCCACAAGGTGCCATCAAGCCACCAGCACACGCTTTTGCGGTCAGGACACCTCGGTTCCCGGTGGGCGCAGCAGGCGCCTTCCCCCCTTCCGCTCCCCCCCTCGGAGAAGTTCTGCGGTTATAGACAGACCGCCCTGGGTCCTTATCATTCCCCTGCTCCGGGGAACCCCAGCGCTCGTGTCGCCACGCCCGGGGCCACGATGCCACCTCTCTGCCACGTGTGGAGTCCCTTCAGCCTCCGGAGCTGCCCCGCCAGCCACGCCAGCCCCCCTCCTCTGTCCCTGCACCTCTCCCCGCCCAACTCTCTCCTGTTTCGCCTCAGACCACGTTTCATGACTCACTGCCGCCTCCTCCAGGAAGCCCTCCTTCACCGCCCCGCCCTCGCTCATCTCCGGGATTCTGGGCCCCAGCGCACTTGTACTCTGCGGTTTGGTGTTTAGTTGTGCCCTGTCTGGTGGTGCTGCTGGGTATGCGCAGGGGAACTTTCTAGCCTTCTGAATTCATTCACGGGGCCAGGACACTTGCAGCATCCACGTCCCGTGAACCTGCCGTAGAGCAGGGCTGCGTGTGGCGCTTTATCTCACGGAGCCCCTCCAGGAACACAGACGGGCGCGTCCCCACTCTGCGGGTGAGGACGCAGGCGAAGGAGATAAAACCACGGAGCACAATGTGTGGGAAGTTACAGCGAGCGCTCTGTGACAGAGGGCACCGGGATTTGAACTCACGGGCACACAGCCAGCTCTTTCTGCTCCGGAGCTCCTCTAACTGATTAGCAACAAGTCTCTGAGGGCGATCAGGCCTCGGGATTGTCCCGCAAGTGGCCTGGTGGGAGCCACTGTTGAAGGGCTCTGGCCCCTCCTGCCGCCCTCCCTCGGTGTTTCCGGACTCCGAAGCGCTCACCCCACCCCAGAGCCACAGAGGAAGCCGGGGCATAAATCAGGGTTCTTGGCAGCTCCGGCAAACCCGGTTTGCAAGGGCTCCACCCCACGGCCCCCGGAGCGCCCCTCTGGTCAAGCAGGAGCCTTTCCCGTGTGTGCGCCGGTCCGGCCCCTGCCCTGCAGCCGAAATGTGCAACAAAGCACATTCCTTTCGCGCCCAGGTCGGTCTGTTTCGGGGGACGGACAGTGAGAACGAGCTTCTGCCAAGGCGAGCTCCCCGCCAGCCGAGCACCCCTGCAGCAGACTAACCTGCACACGGGGCTCCCGCCGCTGTTCTGGGTGCCTAACGCCGATGGATTTTTCCAGGGGGCTGCAGGGGCAGCCCTGTCAAAGAAGGCTCCAGGGGTGCTTAGAAAACTGACCCTTGTGCCCAGCATGGGGGCACTGGATTCAACACGGCTGTGACAGTCCCAGGGGGGCGGCCGAGGGTGTGGGCTCTGGATTTACACCACCGGGGTCGGAACCCAGGCCCTGCCACTTTCGCGGGTTCTAGGACCCTGGCAAGTTCCTTCCCCTCCTTCGGCCTCAGTTTCCTCATCTGTAAAATGGGGACGGTGTGACAAGTATGCTGAGATGCCTCTGTAAGCGCTCCACAAACATCACCTGTTATTATTAACAGGGGAGGACAAGTTGCTGATCCTCCCGGAGCCCAGAGGCAGGAGAAGCAGGTTTGAGGCGGTGTGAGTGAGTCCTGAACCTCTCGGGGAGGTTTGTGCTCAGGGCACAATGGGACTCACGCCTGTCCTAGCTGTGGTTTCCTGCCTGCGTAACTGCAGCCCCTCCCCAGCCCGTGAGCTCCAGGCCTGGGAAGGAGCACACCCTCTGCCCTCCTGCGCCGACCCCTCCCTGCTCTCCCTTCCTGGGGACCCTGTTCCCCCACCTCTTCCTCTCTGCCTGTCTCCCACCCCTTCCTCCTCGGTGGCTTAGCACAGAGGTCGTTCTCACCTGCCACAGCCTCTCAACCCCCAAATCCGGCCCTGCCCACCACTAACCTGTCCCCTCCCACAGACACCCTCAGAATGTAGCTGGGACACTCCCCCCTTGGAGGCCACAGCAGCCAGGCGCTGCACCCCTTCCCACGGCACTTGCCCTGTTAAAGTCACCAATGACCTTGTCGTGTCCAAATCCGGGGGCCATTTTGTCTCCCCTGCCGGACCCCAACCACAGCGGTGCTGGAGAAGTTAGGGCGGAGGCAGAGGGCAGCTGCAAGCCGAGGGCTCCGCACACCCACAGACTGGACAGCCTCCTGGTTCCACCCCGGACACCCGTGAGAGCACATATTAACTTTTGCAGGCCCCCATTTCTTCAACCGCCGAATGGGACCGTAACAGCCTCCCCTAAGCAGGGGTCCTGAAATGGCTCCAGGCCTCTTTCCTGTCTGGAAGCCCTACAGGCATTTCCACCTGCCCCTAAAGTCGAAAGAGGCAGAAACTATATGCACTGTGCCTGGTACGCAGTAGGTACTCAGTTAATACTTACGGAATGAACGCAGGAGTTAAGTGAAGGAGTGTGTAAACACACTTTGTAAACTGTGAGTAAAGTGCTATGCTAATGCCAGGGGAATGCGCTCTCTTCTCAATCACTTCCACAACTATAATTTCAGAGGAAGCTCGTTAACACTCCTGCATTCATTCACTCACTCATTCCGCGAAGAATCGCCATCTCTCTGTTCACGGACATATTCCAAACACTGGAGACAGAGCCCGGCATCGAATATGTGCTCCGTAAATATTGCTGGATGGGTGAATGGATGTTGCAAAGAGCATTAGCCCTGCTGGGCTCTGGGGTATATCGGTGAATGATACACATGCTGGCCCCCTGGTCCCCCCAGTTCAGTAGGAAGGACCATAATATGCAACTGTCTCTATAAATTGTGAAAATACCTGAGGGAAGTCCGCAGGGCTCAGTGATGAATAACAAAAGATAAAGAGAGATAAATAAAGAGAAAAAACATTTAGGCAACATGTTTCCTTTTAGGTGAAGAAATGGAGGTGGAGAGGTTAAATGGTTCAGGCAGGGTCACCCCTCAGGTGACAGAGAATGAACTCAGGGTCCGGGGCATTCCTACAGCACTTGCGGCCTATGGGGGGCGGGGGTTTGGGGTACCAGGAAGTGACCTGGGAGGTACAGAGGAGTGGTCGCAGGGCAGCAACCTTACTCTCCCGTCAGGAATCTAGAGGCTTGGATCCTTGTTTAGGTCTGGTGGGGGAAGCCCATGAAGTCTGCGGAGGTGCAGGTGGCAGGGAATCCAAGGCCAGCTGGGGTTGGGGGGCGGGGGGGGGGGCGCGACCAGATCAGAGGGCAAGCTGTCCCAAGGCCTGCCAGGGCAGGAGGTACAGGACAAGGGAGCTCAGAGGGGCCCCGGGCTTCCCCAGGGACGATTGTGGGCCAGGCAATGAGGAGGAACATTTGGCCCTTGCTGCACCACCCCAGCCCTTCCTTAATCATCAGAGTAAATATTTGGCGGAGGTCTGGCCAGCTCCCATCTGGAAAACTAAACAGGGAACTCTGATTGGACACATGTAACCACCACGCATGAGACAGTCCTCACTCACAAAGGCCCCAGGCTGTGGATCCCGCCCTCCCCGAAGCAGACCGAAGCAGAGTTGGAGCCCCCCTCTTCCTGGTCACATACTGCCTGCCTCCCAGCTCCCTCCTTTCCCCGCAGCCCCTCCTCCCGCCATCTCCCCACGGGACTCCGATTAGTTTCCTCGGGACCCCCTGACGTCACCGCGACTTTCCGTGGAGTCCGAAGGCGGCTCCCCGGCCTGCGCTGGAGGGCAGGGCGCGCCGGACCGGCCGGGGCAGCGCCGGGGCGGGGAGGGGCCGGGCCGCGGGGCGGACGAGCGGGCGCCGAGTAACGGGGAGGGGCGCGCTCCCGGCGGCCGGCGCAGGCCCTCGGCCAGAGGCCTGGACCCCGCACCCCGGACCCCCGGACTCCTCCCCGGACCCCCTGCCCCTCCCGGACTCCTCCCCGGACCCGCGCAACCCTCCCATGCCCCCGGGTTCCCCCCACCGCGCAGCCCGCCGCGCCGCCTACCGTGGGCCGCTTCCACACGATGCCCTGCGTCTTGCTGGAGTAGGGTCCCAGCTCCTTGAAGCCCAGGGAAGAAGGGATGGCCGGGAAGGAGGGGTCCTGGAAGAGCGTCCCGGCCTCCAGGCACTCGTCCCGCAGCGCCTCGTAGTCCTGGTTGAGGTACTTGATGGCCTTTTCGTGCGAGCCCAGCCCGTCGGCCGCCTCTCGGTCCTTCGCCAGCTTGGCCGCGATGCCGGCCATGGTGGGGGTCTGGGCAGGGGCGCGGCGAGCGAGGGCCGGTTCTGCAGGGGCGCGGCGAGCGAGGGCGAGCCTGTGTCTGCAGGGGCGCGGCCGGGCCCGGTGCGCTGCGGCTGGACTGCGGTCTGCAGCTCTGCAGGCTGTGATTCCCCTAGCGGGAGGCGCCCCCTCCCGGCGGGGTGTGGCCTCGGCGCCGCTGGGTGTGGCCTCCGGGAGGGGTGTGGCCTCGGAGCCGCGGGGTGGGGCCTCCGGGCGGGAGTGTGGCCTGGGCGCCGGCGCCGTGGGCGGGGGTGTGGCCTTCAGGAGGGAGGTGGCCTCGGCGCCGCGGGGCGTGGCCTCCCGGTGGGGGTGTGGCCTCCTGGCGCAGAGCACGGTTGGGGCGTGGGTGCCTCCCCGCGGGGGTGACCTCGGCGCCGTGGGCGGGGTGGACCTATAACTCACTCCGCAACCCCAGGGCAGTAAGGAGGTGGGGGGGGGGGACTAGATTCGCTGCCTTCAGTTAGTCCCCGACTTTGTGCCAGACACTGTCCCAGCGGCTCTGCCGAGGTCACCTCGTGGGAGCCTCGCAGCGACGCCCTGGTCTCACAGGTGCGAGCGCCCGGCCCACCCACTACCACTGTCGCACACCTGGCCACCGGCAGCACCGGCTTCCAAGGCCTCCAGGCCTGTGATGATCATGGGCAGGGCTGCCGGGCTGGCAAATACAGACATCTTCGCAGGTGAATTCGAATTTCAGGTTAACACCAGTATTTTTTTAGTGTAAGTGTGCCCCAGATACTGCAGGGACGTACTTACACTAAGAGGCTCAGTCGGTGGAGTGTGGGGCTCTTGATCTTGGGGTCATGAGTTCGAGCTCCACGTGGAGAGTTGGTGATACAGATTTCTAAAAAACAGGTAATGGGGGCGCCTGGGTGGCGCAGTCGGTTAAGCGTCCGACTTCAGCCAGGTCACGATCTCGCGTGATCTCCCGTGATCTCGCGTGAGTTCGAGCCCCGCGTCGGGCTCTGGGCTGATGGCTCAGAGCCTGGAGCCTGTTTCCGATTCTGAGTCTCCCTCTCTCTGACCCTCTCCCGTTCATGCTCTGTCTCTCTCTGTCCCAAAAATAAATAAACGTTGAAAAAAAAAAAACTTAAAAAATAAATAAATAAAAAACAGGTAATGGTTGTTTGTTGAAACTCACACTGAATGGGGGGCTTGTGTCAATACTGGCAGAGTGTTCGGAGAACAGTGTAGGGTGACCGGTCCTGGGACAGAGCTGGCTGGGACGGTGCAGGGTGTCCGGTCCCGGGACCAGAACAGGGACAGCGCCGGGTGACCGATCAGGGACAGAGCGTGGATTGGCAGCTCCTGGGGGGGGGGGGGACGGGGTGGCCCAGGCCTGCATGTCCTGCATTTCCCCGGCACTGATAGGCAGGTGTCTGTGTGTCAGTGGGAAAAGGGGTGGATTAGCCCTCAGTTACCCTCTCCACCCTATCCTACGGGCCATGTGACCTTGTCCGGAAGACTTTTTATTTATTTGTTTGTTTTAATTTCATTATTTTTTTAAAGCTTATTTATTTATTTTGACAGAGACTAAGTGAGCCTGAGAACAGGGGAGGGCAGAGAGAGAGAGGGAGAGAGAGGATCTCAAGCAGGTCAGCACAGAGCCCGACGCGGGGCTCGAACTCACAAATCGTAAGACCATGCATGACCTGAGCTGAAGTCAAGAGTCGGACGCTTAAGCGACTGAGCCACCAGGCACCCCTCAATCCTGCATTCCTAACTGGCTTCTTTTTTAGTTTCTCCTTTGAACTATCAAAAAACAAGAAACAAAAAACACCTACCAGTTCCCTCCTTCTTTAATGAGTTAAATAAAATCTTGGACGTATGTTCATCTTATCTTTTCATGGGAGTCATTATTTTATTCTTTTAAGAAAGTATCTTTTAACACACTTGTGCGCAGGCCTCGGTGTTAACTTCCTGTTTACAGGTGTGATGGGGAGTAGGGGGCGTCTTCATTCCGTGTCCTCCACAGAGGGAACAGGGACCAGCAGGGCTTAATGGGGTGCAGGTTTTAATTTAACATAAAAAAGCCTGCACACTGGCCCGCACCGGGGAACGGACTGCCTTGTGACCCCGGGTACAGCTGCACTGGGGTGCTCCCAGGGTGGGGGGGGTCCCCGACTTTGCGGCACATCAGAACCACATGGAAGCATGTGGTTACAAATGCAGACTCCAGGCCTGCCACACCCAGATGCTGATTCCATAGGAAGTGCTAAGGCTTTGATGGTTGAGGACCAGCAAGGTGGGGCTGTGGGGTCAAGGACAGGCCACCCCAGAATGTGCCCCTGTGGCAGAGTGATTATTCCAGAGAAACACCGGGCCCAAGGGCCTTCAGACCCTCCTCCTTCCAGTGGAAACAAACCCCCCACGTGAAAAATACCCTTCCTGCTGTAACAAGTGAAAAGACACACCCTCATCACCAGAGATGGGGCCTTGAGCGCCGAGAAAGCGGTGGAAACAAACCTGCTGACTTTCTTACTCGTCCACGACCTCAGCCCAAACTGCAGAGAATTCCATACTGGTTAAAGCTCACAAACCCCTGTTTTCCTTAACCTGTCAATTCCTCACAAACTTCTCGTCTCTTCGTCTACACCGTATAAAAGCTGCCTGACTTGGTCATCTCTTGGGTCCCAGTTTCATTACTGGGCCTCTGTGCATGTGTCCTGTGCGTGTGTGAAGCAGCTTTGGGCCTTTCCCCTGTTGCTCCGTTCCGTGTAAATTGAATTCCTTCCTTTTTTTTTAATGTTTTGTTTTTTAGAGAGAAAGAGAGACAGAGTGTGAGAGGGGGGAGAGGCGGGGAGAGGGAGGGAGTCACAGAATCCGAAGCAGGCTCCGGGCTCCCAGCTGTCAGCACGGAGCCTGACGATGGGCAGGCTCGAACTCACAGACTGTGAGATCATGGGCTGAAGTCAGATATTTAATGGACTGAGCAACAACCCCAGTGCCCCCATGTAAATTGATTTCTTAGTCCAGCCGAGGACTTGGAAGGAGGAGGAAGAACTCCCCCTGCCCAAAAGGGCCCTGCCGCTGGGGGAGGGGGGCGCTGCCACTGGGTGGGGGCCCTGCTGCTGGGGGGCAGGTGACCTCCGAAACCCTTTCTACCCAAACACCGCATGGCCTGAGGGCTCGCTGGCAGGTGGCCTGACCCAGCCTGGAGGTTTATTTCCAACATCATCAGGTGCTGGTTTCTTCTTGGCGTCAAAGTCAGCACTGGCTTGTCCTTGAGGCTGTTTCCATAGGGAGTGGCTGCATCCTGAAGGAACTCTCTCTGCCCCTCAACATCTTTTGGAGACTGCCTGTTGCTTTCCACTTCCTAAATTTCCCGGATTTGGGAATTGCATTTTGCCACCTAGAGTATTTATTCAGATTCAAGAACTGAGCCCTTGGGGCGCCCGGCGGGTGGGCTCAGTCAGGGGAGCTAACTCTTGATCTCAGGGTGGGGAGTTCGAGCCTCACACTGGGTGTAGAGGTGACTTTAAAAATAAGGCCTAAAAAAAAGAAAAAAAGGAAAGAAAAGAAAAAGAACTTAGCCCTTTGCACCAAACGCTTTAGGAGCGGAGTCACCGGGCACCCCTTTCTAGGGAGTGACCCTACATTTGAGGGTTTGGGTTTGTATTCGCCACTATCGTTCCTGTCCTCCATCGATGGCCAGGTGCCGCTGCCTGCCTTGGATGACACGGGGCCACCGGTGTTGGCTTCCAGCTCGTAGGTTTAAGGAGAACACAGGAAGCTGTTAACTTGCTTACCGTCTGACTTCTGATTTCCCCTGGGCTCCCCGGATTTCCTCCTGGCCCCGGGCTCTTGGGAGAAGACCTGTCCACCTGGCCAGTGTGACAGAGCAACCAGGGGCACTCACGCTCCTGCCAGACTCCTGGAGGCCAGCTGAGCCCCGGGGGATGCGGTTCCTCCCGGCCTGGCCTGCGCTGCTCGTCCTCTACCCGACCCAGGACCCGGACCCAGGACCTAGGACCCAGGACCCAGGACCCAGGACCCAGGACCCAGGACCCAGGACTCAGGACCTGGACCCAGGACCCAGGACCCAGGACCCAGGACCTGGACCCAGGACCTAGGACCCAGGACCCGGACCCAGGACCCAGGACCCAGGACCCAGGACCCGGACCCAGGACCCAGGACCTGGACCCAGGACCCAGGACCACCAGCTGGCCGCCCACCAGCCTCCAGGCCTCTGCACACAGGGCTGTCCTCACAGAAGAACTTCGCTGTCCTGAGGGACTCAGATTTATTTCAGATGCACACAACGATTACTGCCCCCACCACTGGACAAGCGACAGTTTTTAAAACCTGAATAAACAGCGTTCTTTATATTTTCAGAGGCTCTCACACGACGCTGTCTCACCGGATCCGGCAAAATCCCATCTCTTTTGGACCATACAATCCCTCACACAGGAACACACACACCCTAGGGCCTCGCCCTGGAGAAACTTCCTGCCTTGACTCACCCAGGCCTGGGCAGTGGGTGAGTCACAGAGGCTGGGATCACCCCAAGCGGGAGGGGCCCCGGCTTTGAGGGCCAGCCGTGTGTGTGTGTGTGTGTGTGTGTGTGTGTGTGTGTGAGTGAGTGTGAGAGAGAGACACACACAGAGACACGGAGAGAAATGGAGACCGTGTGTGTGTATCAGAGACAGAGACAGGGAGAAACGTGTATTTGGAAGAGAACACATTCTTCCCCACAATCATGGGCAGGGAAGGGGTCCGTGGGGTGTGGTCTTCTAGGCAAGCCTATCGGGGCCTTTCTGCTCCAGCGACTGGAATGTTCTGGTCCTTGTGAAACACCATCACCGATGCCTCAGGAAGACGTGATAAGAAGGAAGTGCGCTGGGTTTCAGTTAGCGCGGGGGAAGGGGTCTTGTGTATTTGTGGGTTTGTCTGCTGGGGTCTGTGGTTGAGCAGAGGGCTGGCTCACACACACACACACACACACACACACACACACACAGACACACACACACACACACACACACACACACACACACACCCCGCCTGCCATCCACTCACCTGTTGGCGGACCCTGGGGCTGCCTCCACATCCTGATTGTTGTAAAGAA